AAAAGGATGATGAAGATTGAATAAGAAGCAGATAAATTACATTATGGATCATATTTAGAAGAGAATTCCAATCAAACGTTAAAAGTAGAGAATCATGTTAACTATCCATGACAGATACTAGTGAGATGGATTACATCATCTATTATCAAGTTTGTAGGTTATATAATGAATGAGTTCCACTGAAATTTGTAAATTCGATAGATCTGGTCTTTTCCATACTCCTTACTTCTTTTCAATTTGTATTCGGAAAGAAATGTTGTCAATATATGAGATCGAATGGAGAATAAAATGTAAAACTAATCTTTAGAATAGTATTTGAGCATATATCAAAAGACTGATTGATCGAAGAAATATATTCCTTATCAATTAGATCTACGTCTTCGACCACACACTAACAAATAGGTTTACAATTCAATCGAAATACCAATCAATCGGTGGGGAGTTGGTGAACAATAATGTAACTAGCTCCGCAGAAGCCGTTGAATTGATAAATGGGAGTACAATGATGCACTTCCATCGTCGAATCTCTGATCACCACCCATCATGGTTGAGCAAGGGACCAACTAGCACAATAAAGAGCTCCAAACTTCACACTGGACATCAAGTGGATACTAACTAGTAAAGCTTTGATAATTATTCACCACATTCCAATTAATTTACCCCAATGGATTACACACACGCTTACTTCTTAGAGCAGAGGTGATTGCAATTCACCTAACCTTTTGTATCCAAAAGTAGTTTGTTCAACGACTTTCATTACTGTGGTTGTTAACATGATGCAACTTCTAGTATTACTTTGTACACCTCTTACCCATCTTGTTTCTATCACTATTCATTTGTTCCCTTACTATTACGTAATCACTTATTGTTTATGACTGAACACTCATCAAAAATCACTTCATTAACCTAAGAATAACCTACTTCATATCTCCAATTTTAATTACTCTATTGATTATTTACATCTTGATTTCTAAAACTTATCACCTTCATGACTTACTTAAAATCTGTGACTATTGTTCACCAACTCCTCACCAATTGATTGGTATTTCGATTGAATTGTAAACCTATTTGTTAGTGTGTGGTCGAAGACGTAGATCTAATTGATAAGGAATATATTTCTTCGATCAATCAGTCTTTTGATATATGCTCAAATACTATTCTAAAGATTAGTTTTACATTTTATTCTCCATTCGATCTCATATATTGACAACATTTCTTTCCGAATACAAATTGAAAAGAAGTAAGGAGTATGGAAAAGACCAGATCTATCGAATTTACAAATTTTAGTAGAACTCATTCATTATATAACCTACAAACTTGATAATAGATGATGTAATCCATCTCACTAGTATCTGTCATGGATAGTTAACATGATTCTCTACTTTTAACGTTTGATTGGAATTCTCTTCTAAATATGATCCATAATGTAATTTATCTGCTTCTTATTCAATCTTCATCATCCTTTTGAACAGTTTTTTCAATCTGTCCATATTTCTACTTGTTGAAATTATTCATTTCTACTTTACACCACATTGACTGATGTTCAGGCTTACATTGTGTAAACGCGTATTCTTATACTTCATCATGGTATGCGAATGAATAAAGAATTCAGCTGACTGAACCTGTTGAGATTTATACACTTATGAAATCCTACTTTCTTCATATTCTTTACATTAGATGGTTTAACTAATGTTGTTTAAAGGTTGAATAGGAGTTAAAATATTCAATTACAATAGAAGTAAGTATCTGTCACCAGATCTCTTACATTCTTCTTTAACGAATTAATTTCATCAAGTTTTGCATAGTTAATCAACGTGGGTTACTTTTAGTGTAATGATGATGATGTAAGCTTTATGAATGAGATGGTTATTCAACTGTGAAATTATAACTTCTTACTTAAATATCTCTTGTCAATCAAATTAGAGAGATTGAATGTTCAAAGAAGTTCTGTGTGACTCAGAGTATTTATTATTCAAACAATACGCTTATTAATACGCATTACTTGTTTGAATTGTATACTGACCACTGTCACTCCAGTCATCAACCTACTATTCAAAAGCAGTCTATCAAAGTAAAGCTATATCAGACAGTTTCATCAAGAATATGAGTATTATCCGTTAGACTATTTGAGACAGCCACAGTTTTTTTTGGGGGGGAAACCAGCTGAATATATCGAATTCTGATGGCACTTGGGTAACACCCTTGGTAATTGAAGTGGAGTTAAGATATGGTCAGTAGCTAAGTTCTGCAGTTCAGTTGATAAAGTATCAGGTCTGTAATCCGGATGTCTGTGCTTTCCCTCTCACCTTCAATAAACACCCAATATCTATATGAATACTATCAAATGTTTTATACAGATCTTCACCAAAAATACTAACTTCTGTAAAGATCAAGTTATTGTATTATTATTATTAGTCCCTTTGGTTCCTAGTGGAACATAGGGCTTCAGTGGCACGTCTCCAGTGTCCTCTGTTCTCTGAGATCTTTTGAACCTGGTTCCACGACAACCCACAAGCTCTCATTTCCTCCTCACATGATCTCCTCCATGTCACCCTCACATCACATGCCAAACTCATCGCTTCCCATCTGGCTTCCACTCGAGTACCTGGCTTGGCACGTGATGTCCTCAGTCGGCCTTCTCAGTGCATGACCAATCCATCTCCACTTTCTTCACCTGCATATTTGTTGAGCGATAACTTCTTGGTTAGTTCGTTGTGGTGGACTGAACTGGATCATGCAGCAAACAGTGGGGAGCGAGAAGAGGGGGATACGCTGGCTGGACTGCGGAAAAGAACCTAGAAGACTTGGATTTCGCCAACGATGACTTGTGTCTGATGTCACATAAACTTGAAGATCTACAGGCAAAAACTAACAAGTTGATAGAAGAGACAGGGCAGCGAAGACGGGACTTCAAGTGAATATAGAGAAGACAGAAGTGATGAAGATACCGCACCACCACCATCAACAACAACAACGAACTCCAATCACCGTCAACGGGAGAAACTTCAAGGAAGTAACCTCCTTCACTTATCTAGGAAGCACTGTTTCAACTACAGGCGGGACGGACGAGGACGTCAAAGTTAGAATCGGAAAAGCAAGACAGGTGTTCATTAGCCTGAAACCAGTGTGGAGATCTTCTGCAGTCAGCATGTGCAACAAGATACGGATTTTCAACACCAACTTAGTCAAGTCAGTGCTTCTGTATGGTTCAGAGACTTGGCGCGTCACGAAAGGCGTTTCCAATAAACTACAGACATTCATCAACAACTGCCACCTACGCTGGCTCTATACTGAAGATCAGATGGATTGTCAGAAAGAATAAGCAACAAGGAGCTCTGGGAACGAACCAACCAAGAACCTATCACGCAACAAATATGCAGGAGGAAGTGGAGATGGATTGAGCATGCACTGAGAAGGCCGACTGGGGACATCACGCGTCAGGCCAGTTGCTCGAGTGGAAATGCTTTTCGTGACGCGCCAAGTCTCTCAACCATACAGAAGCACTGACTTGACTAAGTTGGTGTTGAAAATCCGTATCTTGTTCCACATGCTGAGTGCAGAAGATCGATGAAGCAGTTTCATGTTCCATAAAACACTTGTTAGTAGATACAGCAAAACTTTTGATCTTTCTACTTCTCTTTTATCAAATGTTCAATATATTATTCTATCCTACTTTGTTATCTTTAAACGTGATATCAATTGAGTCTGTTCCTTCGAATAAATTTGTCAATCAACTCTCCCACATTTCTCGTGGAAATCAATTGATACTTTTCAATGCATCACATACATGTTATGCACTTCTCTGATATTTTCAGCAATTATGCTAGTAGATATGAGGAAAAAATTTTCAAAAATGCAAATAAAAACTTTTCAATTAAAAGTCATTGCTGTTTATAAGTTGATTTACACTGTGTTAAATTGAAGAATACAAACAACTTTCAGAAAACTGATTAACAGCAGTAAGATTTCATAAAAACTAGAGTCATATGAATAAATAAGACAGGATACTTCAAAAGTACAAATGCAAACTTTATGCGCTGATCTATAGAAAAATTGTCACACATAGAATCTCTATTCTCTTCGATAAATCGATACTTGAAGGTAGTTGGTTCAAACCCCCCACCACTAAACACGTTTCTGTTCAGATTTAACCATCAGCACATTGAGCTAATTTCTATCTAAATAATCTTTGAAAGTGGTTCAAATTAACATGAGACTCAGTGAAAGGCACTCAGTCTTTAGAAAAATAAACTAACTATAAAGCATTATATTTCTTTGATTTAATTGACACTTATTTCGTTATAGAATTCTTCCTAGACAGCAGCTTTAAAGGCTACCCTAGTAACTGATGGAACAACCAATCATCTTTCTCTATACTATCAAACAAATTGTCTCCCCAGAAAAAATACTGCAACCTGATTGATTATTTTGGTAGTTGTTAGGATGGTTTTTGAAGTCACTTCCTAGATTAAAACTTTCTTCTTTTCTAATGCACTATAAACTACTTTATTTGAAATAAGTAGTAAATCTTTCTCTACATTTCATTCTTTGAATTCTATCGATTTCCAATTCTCTTTTCTTCAACTTATAACCAAATATCGCTAAGAGTGCATTGAAATGTTGACCTTCCTCTATGATAGATAGATATAAGCAATCGTTATACTGGTTAATGTTTACAGTGTACCAATCAACTAACCAATTCTTTTCTTTTCTAAAACATCTGAAAAATTCTTTCTTATAGAATAAAGTCTGCATGACTGGGATAGACCTTTCCTTTAATGGAATTTCTAAATAATTTGTACTTTTCAATATTTACAAGATGAAGATTTACTTGTTAGCCGTTTATTAATAGTTGTGTATTATTACAGACTGGTCACATTGCTGAACATTCATGCTTATCATCCCATTTGTTAAAAGTATGAGAGATTGAATTTTGTACAATGCATATTTGTAATTGAAGTCAAATATAAGGAAGCATAACTTAGACTTTAAAGAATATTGTTTTGCAAATTCAGTATTCTATATGACTCAAATGAAAAGTTTTAAGTCAAAATGTTAACAAACTTTGTATGTTTGTAGGCTTCAAGCTAGTCAAAACGAAATATGGAGTGATTTATGCATTTCTTCACCTGAAATGTAATAATGTAATAATTCATAAAGTTAAATGCAATATGGATGTCTAGAGAAATTAAGTACTACTGTCAGTGAGTTAGCCTTCACAGATTTCAAGTTCTTCATCACAGGTCAAAATCAGTTAGTAAATCATTGTGAACTAGGAAACATTGTACAGCTGCATCCTTCTAAATTAGAACTCATTAACTGTGCTAATATACTACTGCATAAACGACCATGCCTAAGACCATTCAGTTTGATGATGAGTGTCTTGAAATTGAATAGTTGGATTGCTATCCTACTGCCCATGTCTTTAACCTCCGTCAATTCCAAGTATTCATTGATGACTTCTTCTAGAAGATATCACCTGAATTCCTGCCGAGAATCTGTAATGTGTGATATTGAGCCAAATTAGATGTCAAGTACATACTAACCTGGTAGCTTGATGGCAACAGGTACACCATGAAGTCTGATGGTCTTAAATGTCTGTCTGTATTAGGTTCACATAGTAAATTTAGATTCCCCATAGTCCTCTTCAACTTATTGATAGCGTGTAGCAATGTCTAGTTGTAAACTAAAAACTGATCGTTTTACACCAGAATTAGGTTATGTAAGCTGTGAATAAGAACAAAAGTAGCTATTTTACGAAAATAGATCATTTTAGCTGCCTACAACTTATAACATACGTCTTTTGCCTTAAAAGCTTTCATCTCTATAGAGAACGTGTTTTCAACTAGTAGCATTTTTCAAGTTGGTATTCATGATGAACTGACATCAGTTGAAGGGACATTGAAACTTAAGAGCACTGGACAGCTGTTTCTTCTTCGTATGGGATTCCTCAGGTGGTGAGCATTCACGACCTTCAGGTCTGTGGTCAGTGCGTTACCACTGAGCCACTGGGTTTGGAATCCAATGGTTCATATTTACAACTTCTGTTACTTCACAAAATTTTCAAAATGAAATCTGAGTTTATTGACAAGTCTATCACAACTTCCTATTGACTGTATTAATATTTACACTGACATTATCTGTTTGTGTCTCAAAACTATCTTTAAAATTAGAATTGGTAAGGGAATCATAAGAATAGTCTTTGGACGACTTACTGGATTCATTTTCTTCTAGTCTACATGTCTCTTGTAAACTGAGTGATCTTTAAAGTTTAGAATTTTCACCATTCGATTTCCTATTGTATGCAATATAATTCCTACTGACAGCTGATAACCCTTCCCTCAATAATAACGTCCATCTTTCAAAGTCACAGTCATTAAATATATTTGAATAATTCACGATTGAAAGAGTTTACCTAAACTTTCATGAGTAGATTTATGTTGTATATTCTGACAATGAAGCAGAAGAATATTCACTAGCTTTCCAGCTCTTCAAAATTACTTGAATTCACTGATGCCATAGGACACTGGGATGTTCGTAAGAGTTGTTCTATCAGCTTATTTGACTTAGGATGCTGTGAGCTGGTATACTGATGACGTCAACCAGTTTCTATAAGCTAATCATTTAAGTTCTCAGTAAAATGATTACCATTATCAGTGACTAGGAAGTTCGGCATTCTCTCACAACTGAAAATCTTCCTCATCGCATTAGGAGCGTCTGTAAGTTTTATTTTTGGACATTTAGAATAAGAGTCTACCATAACTTAAGTATATAAGGAGTTTGAGAAGCAACAACAGTTATCTACAAGGACATGGATACCGTAGTGATTTTTCATACGAAATTGACTGCAAAAACAATCAGGACATGAACATCAATTTCTGCCTACCAGTATATCGGGCGAGTCAACGGTTTCATTTTCTCAGCTCCTGAGCGTGCGGAATGGAGAATATTCATTACAGTAGATCTCAGTGTTAGAGGACTAACGATTCCGTCGTTCAAACAAAAGAATTCTTCGAGACGTGATAATATTATATGTCTTCCTTTATAGACGTCAAGGAATCTCCCCTTGCAATGAGGATCCCAACCACTCTTTATTGCTTCCCAGTTTATTTTATGTGTTACATTCTGCCAACAGGTAACGAATGAACTAATAAAACAGTCTGATATGAGTAGGAGAACTCTCGAACGATAAATAATCTGATAATAAATATGCTTGAGGTATATCTTTAGCCTATCTTTGTTCAGTCGTACTATCATAAGATCTCAGCTCTAAATTATATCTCTGTATGGATGGTGAATGAATTTCAAAGCTTGTTAATCAGTAACAATATGAATCTGCGTATGAAACAGATAGTCGTAGAGATGCGGCTTACTACTCAGTCAGTAATCCCTTCCAACTGTCTGATCTATCATATTATGACAAATGAAAATAATAAGATGTGACAAAATTATCTCAGGTCACTGTTTATTTCAGCTATCGAAATCAAAACCGATCCTTGTAACCAACTGACTTTATCACATACTTTTAAAAATACCACATTTCTTCATAAATTGTTAATACTTTCCTTTCCTTTGCTTTCCTTTCGTTCGATTACATTTCATAAATTGATAGCGATTACTTCAATGAAGTTTTAACTTTAACAAGTTACAATAACGAGATGACTACACTTTTAGAAACTACAAAAATGCTGTATCATTCACATTGAAAATACAACAAAACAGCTCCTTAGTCACTTCAATATAAAATTTAATTCATCGACAAAAACACCATAGACTATAGTAACCAGGTATACTTCACAACTTGAAAGTTAATTACTATCTAGTAAATATTGCTCAGGTACTGCTGATTGTATTTATTATTTGTCCTTTGAGTTCCTAGTGGAGCTTTAGTAGCACATTGACATTTCACTCTGTTCTCTGCAGTCTTTTGAACCTGGCTCCACAACTGCCCAAGAGCCTTCAATTGTTTCTCACATCATCTCCTCCATGTCATTCTCGCTTCGGACAACCAACTCATCGTTTCCCCTTTGGGTTCCATTTGAGGGCCTCGCCTGACGCGTGATGTTCCCGAATAGTTTTCTCAGTGTATATCCAATCCAATCCGTCTCCACTTTCTTCATCTGCATATTTGTTGGGAGATGGGTTCTTGGTTGGTTTGTTGTCAGAGTGAGTTCCTTGTTTCTTATTCTTTCTCGCCATCTGATCTGATCTTCAGTATGTCGTGAGGGTAGTCGGCAGCTGTTCATGTATGATGTCTGTAGTTTGTTGGAAATGCTTTCGGTAACACGTTAAGTCTCTGAACCATATAGAAGCAAGCACTGACTTAACTGACTTCGTGTTGAAAATGCGGATCTTGTTCACGCTTTATGCTGGGTGAAGTACGCGGCAGTGCAGTAGATCTCCACACTGATTTCAGATTAACGAAGAAAGGCCTATCTTGCTGTCTGTTTGATCCTGGCTGGCTTTGACGTCCTCATCCATGCCATTGTCTGTACCTGAAACGATGCTGCCTAAATAGGTAGGTGAAAGAGACTACTTCATTCAGATCTATCCCGTTGGTGGTGACCGGTGCTTGTTGTTGTTCTTGTTGTTGTTGCTGGTTGGTTATCTTCATTAACTCTGTCTTCTCTACGTTCACTTGAAGTGTCGTCTTCGCTGCCTCTTCTGTCAACTTGCGGCTTTTTACCTGGAGATCTTCGAGTTTGTACGACATTAGACATAAATCATCATCGGCGAAATCGAAATCCTCTAGGATCTTTGTCTTTCCATCGGTCCAGCCAGCGTATGCCCATCTTCTCGCTCCTCGCAGTTTGTTACATGATCCAGTCGACTACAGTCCGGAACACAATTATTGATAATAGGCGGCAGCTTTGTTTTACTCCACTTCTCTTCACTTCAGAGGCGTCGCTGAGCTTTTCATTGTGAATCACTTGGTATGTGGAGTCTTCATATAGCTGTTGAATGAGTTTGATGAAGATTTGTGGCACTAAAACCGTATTGTTGAAGCAGCTATCTGCCAAATTACTTCTTGGTCGACACTGTCGAAGGCCTTTTCAAAATCGATGAAGTTGAAGTAAAGAGTTGACTGCCACTCTATAATGATGCGTAGTGTTGCAATTTCATCCGAACATGATTTGTTCTTCCTGAATCCAGCCAGACTATTTCGGTAGTAATTTTGAATCCTCAAGGTGATGTGGCATAATATTTTGCCTGGGATGCACAGGAGAATGATTCCGCAGTACTGAAACAAGTTGAAAATATTTACACCAAGAATTCATCAAACGAAATAGAAATCAATTTAATCTGATAAATGGTTTAATTCTTTTGATTGAAGTTATTTCATTTATTAACTGGGACTCACATACACATCTTGAAAGTATCCAACTGAACAATCAACCTCATAATCAACCACTTATTAGACCTGATTTATGCACCTGAGTACCTTACGGTGATAGTATTAAAAAAGCGTTCAATACAACATCCTTCCTATCTTAGTCATTAACAAAAGATTGACGCACAAAACCATCTATAGAGCCCTCTATCTTAGGCTTCAATTCATTTTAGATTACGTATACCTTCAGAAACGTATATCAATTATTCAACCCTGTGTGTGTGTGTGTGTGTGTGTGTGTGTGTGTGTGTGTGTGTGTGTGTGTGTGTGTGTGTGTGTGTAAGGAATCGATCGACTTCGTAACATTGATCATCGATATTAGCTAAAGAATCACTGAAAATCTGAGAACGCTTGACATCTGTATCATTCTAGTTTGATAATCAGTAATATACATTTACAAGCGTATGAAGGATTAGATTTTATACTCTGCAAGTCAAAATTTAGAGACTGGCTTGGAATCCAATGTTGCAATCATTGAGTCTTAGGAACAAACTGTTGAATATCTTTCTATTGCTCAAGTTTCGATGGTTCTCTAAATGATTTCAGATTGTCATATTTACAAAATAATAAGGACGGAATAATAATAAACAAATAATAAAAGATGGTTATTTGACTCACTGTCACGTAACTGCTTTATAATAGTGCACTTGGTTTGTGAAGATTTCTCAGGGAATTCTAGGCTTCTTTGAATGATCTTGTAAGTGTTGTCACACTCCATAACATGAACCATCAACCAACTTGCTTATCGATAACTTAATCAGATTTCTAGGATAAATTATTATTATTATTATTATTAGTCCCTTGGGTTCCTAGTGGAACATAGGGCTTCAGTAACACATCTCCAGTGCAATCTATTCTCTGAAATCTTTTGAACCTGGTTCCACGACAGCCCACAAGCTCTCATTTCCTCCTCACATGTCACCCTCACATCACATGCCAAACGCATCGCTTCCCATCTGGCTTCCACTCGAGTACCTGGCTTGGCACGTGATGTCCTCACTCGGCCTTCCCAGTGCATGACCAATCCATCTCCACTTTCTTCACCTGCATATTTGTTGGGTGATAACTTCTTGGTTGGTTCGTTGCCAGCCAGCCAGCCAGCCTCAGTTCCTTCACACTCATTCTTATTATTCTGACCATCTCATCTCATCTCATCTCATCTATTCAGTAACCAGTCAGTGTAGACAGTTGTTCATCAATGTCTCTAGTTTGTTGCAAATCACCTTCGTAACGCTACAAGTCTCTGAGCCATACGGCAGCACTGACTTGAGGTTGATG